TTTGGTTTGTCCGTTCTGGGCTACTGTAGAAACATGGTGGACTCCGCCAGCAGAGGACCCGCTCCCTCTGTAGATAAAAACTATTCATTCTAAGGTAACAAACACACAGCGATATGAAAATTATATTAAAGTAATGTTACACTCTGGAGCATCTGGAGAGTGCGGGGAGGTTATATTTCCTTCAGTTGCACACACGGTAAGAATAAGTGACTTCTTGTGTCTGTATAAATAAGGCAGATATCTGTTGGTAAGGTCAGGATGAGGGATGATGAGGAGGAGGATGATGACCAGCTGGCTCTGCATGAACTCGGTCTCATGATGTTCATTCTGCAGAGTTCTGGAGTTGCTCCAGCATCAGTGAACAGCAGGAAGTCCCCTGACAAAACACTCGGCCCTCTGAGCTCTGAGACTGCGTGGCTGTACATGTATTCATCAAAGACCTGTTTTTGCACTCACACTGTGGGGACCCGCAACATTGTGGGGACTCGCGTTAAATTGGGACAAACAGCTGGTCGTCAGTCATTTAGTTCAGGATCCAGGAATTTATGCAAATTTAACTGATTCTGCGAGAAAATAATAAAAATCATTTTTCACTTTCTTCTTCAATTTCATTGATAAGATTTTGTGAAAACATCACAATTTTCATCACAGCTTTTAAGAAAATCTGATATCAGGTATTTTAGGCCACAATAATCCCAAAAAATGTGTGCAAAGCTTTTTTTAAACTCACATTGTGGGGACTCAAACAAATTGCTGGCCAATCAGTTCAGGATTTAGAATTTCATTTTTGTAGCAAACGCAAGATGTAGAGTCAAACCTTATAATACCATACTATATAATCTTTCTGTATGTCATTGATTTCAATTCTGTCAGATTACAGGATCAGATGAGTTTGTTGTTGTATAAAATATATATCAAGACCTGTTTAAGTATTTTTAATAACAATAATTTATTTTATTTTTTTACGGTATTTATTGAATAAGACTTATTTAATAAATACTGTAAAAAAAAATCAATCAGAGGTCTCCACTGACTCCTGTTTCTGTGTATTTCAGTGAATTTAAACTTGTCCTGGCGGCTGCAGCGGCTCTGTCCGGCCCTCAGGGGGTTATGTGTAACTGCTGGCCCCCAGTCGGGCCCCTGGGGGCCTCTGGTAGAGCCGTCGGCCTGTGACAGCCTGTAATTTGCAGCACCGGCGGAGCTTAAAACGACCCCCCCACTGTCTGGTAATCTCCCAGAATTCCAATAATCTGCGCTGTTGCGGCCTGTCATCAGCCGCCGGCGTGGAGCCGCAGACCGGTCGGTCGGGCTGCGGACGCTGAGCGTATTGTTCTCCGTACCGACTCTCACAGTCGCTGTGTGGCCAAACTGCTGCTGCAGCCGAGGAGAAGCAGAAAGGAGCTAAAAATAGTTTGTCTGTAAAAATAGTTTGAGTTTGGAGGCTCCACTGAAACCAGAGGCCGTGTTTGAGTTGGAGCAGAGTGTGGGATCGCTGTCTCTCTCTCTGGACGTCTTCCTCGGACGCCCACGTGTGTGTGCAGAGTAGATATCCAACAGTATGAGTGTTTCTACACGCAGTACAAGCAGGTGTGTGGATAATGACATGTACAGAGCTCAGTGTGTGGCTGCATGTGCAAACGTGTATTAGGTAATTATATGTACGAGTGTATAATGACACGTGACCGCATGTATTCACAGAGCGTGTATCTGTAAGCCCCTGTAATTAAAGAGTGTGAGAATGTGAGTGAACATGAAAATAATACAGAAAATATGATCAAAACATACTTAAAGTACCTAAAATAAGTATATTATATCATTAAATTATTGGATTTTAATTATTGATTTAATGTTGCAGCTGGAGCAGGTGGAGCTCTGCTGCCGGGTAGAGTTTGGTGTTAGGTGTTGCGGGGCAGCCAGCACTGGATAATGTTATTTACCATGGTTGCAGCTTGCTGGCTAACCTTAGGTTGCTCGCTAATGTTAGTTGGTTACCGTTGTTGTTATTGCAAAATACTATCTGAGTTAGCTTAGCTTCCCCAGCTAACGTGATCCATGATGCTTACTTATGTATTCTGACAAACAGTGTTGATTTTAGCCAACAATACATGACGTAGAGGTACAATGCTAACGATAGCTTTCTACTAGCTGAGAGCGATAGCAGGCTGCAGCGTCCTTCGTGTTATAGCAACATTACAGATATAGGGAGGCATCTTAAATATGATTGTTATTTATTTTACAGCATTCAGTCTCCAGTGTGTTGTGACTGTGATGGTGCTCAGGTCTATTACAGTTTTTTCCAGTTGCTAACACACTAAAATGACACAGCACAATAATATAAAGTGACACACAGAGAGCAAAACCTCTTCTCAAGTCTCCAAAACTTTAAACACATTTTCTGCTTTACACACATTTTTAAATGCACTGATGGTTCTCTGCATAACAACAATCTGACATAAAGTCACATGTTCACATTTCAAAACTCTGCCATTCAAAATGACACTACATGAGCTGATTGGCCAATATATGATCCACCTGGCCAAACACCTCAATGGTTCATTGTTACCACTTCAATCAGTAAGTAAGAACTATAAAAAGACACCAGGTGAGCACCTTTTTTTTCTCTGAAAGTTTTTTCTGCAATTTTCTTTTTCAGTTCACTCCAAAGTAAATATATCTGCTGTGCATATGTTGCACTGACTTGAAAAATAAACAATAAATGTTTATACAGCATCTGTGTGTGTGTGTGTGTGTGTGTGTGTGTGTGTGTGTTTGTGTGTGTTTGTGTGTGTGCGTATCTGCAAATATTTCTGTGCATGTGAACAATCTGAAGAATTTTCTACAATTGGAACTATTTTAGTATTAAAGCAGACTAAAGATGAGAGTGCTTTTCATAATGGCCAACAGTGTGGAGTTGGTTAGACATAAATATGGTAATATGAATGAAGTGTGCGTCATTTGGTGCAAAAGTTTGATTTTGATAATGCTCTATGTAGTTTTGGTTGCGGTGCTTCATTTTGCAGGAGATATGAGGTATTTTGTGGTTTTGTGAATTGTGTTAAGTATTTTGATAAAACCAGCCTAGTTTGCAAAATTGTGTTTTAGCAATTGGAAAAAACTGTAATGTGAATATAAAGTGACTTCCATTAAATGTTGTGAAGTGTATATATATATTCTATATTTGCCTCCTACATCAGGACACATTGTATTATTCCTCCTCCCTCCCTCCTCTGCGTAAGCGGGACTCCTGGACAGTATCATTAAAACCTCCCTGTGGTCAAACGTCCTCTGGGCTCCCAGCAGACCAGAGCCTGTTGTTTCAGCAAACCTCAGAGTTTGTTTCTCCTCCTCTGGCTCCACCACTTCCATCATGTCATCACATCGACCCAGAAACAGTCTGATTACAACAAATACTGCAGGAAACACTGAGTCTCTACTACAAATACTGCAGGAAACACTGAGTCTGTACTCTGAGAGTCTCTACTACAAATACTGCAGGAAACACTGACTCAATTAGGACTCTCTCTGGTTGGTTGAATGATGGAAAATACAAATCAAATGCTCTGCACTCACCGTCCACATGTTGCTCTTGTCTTTGGACAGATTAGCTGATTTATATTCCTCCATGTTTCACATTGCTTCTATGATATTCGATACATCGTCTTGCATCAGGACAGCTCATTGTGCCACAGGCAGAGAAAATGTTAATAAATCAAGAAACAAGAAACACACAATAAACAATAAAAAATAAATTAATAAAATGAGTTACAAGAAGCACATAAATCATCAGATAATGAGGCTTTAAAACTTAAGACAACTCAAATGTGAGAACAGTTTGTTGCTAAGCAGCAGCTCTCGTCAGAGTCAGAAATGAAGTAATTCATCTAAATCTTAAGATTTTAGATTTTGTTAAATACTTTTATATTGTTTTAAACTGTTTTTTCCCCCTATTGAAAAACTGTAAAATTTAAATACAACACAGCTTTTTTCTTTTTTGATTGATTTTAGTGGAGTGGAAATAAATCTGGTGTCAGACACTGGAACAACTGGCTGCCATTAACGAATCTCCAACAACCTTCAAATTAAAGTTTGACTTTATGTAAAATGTCCTCTGACAAACATTTCTTTAATGATCACTCAATCATTAAAGAAATGTAAACAAAATGGAGGAAAAAACACTTCATTGTATGCAAAAGATAAGAATTCGTATGTGAGTTGATTTTTTTCTCTCCACCCTACAAACTATTATTTGGCTTTGATTTTTAATGAATTATACAAGAATTTTGAATTTTGAGAAAATTCCCCAAAAAAGCCTAAAATCATCACAACATGCTGTCACAAAATCGGCTGTGAAATTAAGTATTTGAAGTATTTCCTTTAAGGCACCTGAAATATGTCACTACAATGAAATAAGATGATATTTCAGTCACAAGTTTTGATCTCCACTCAGGAACTTTAAAGAAATGTAAACAAAATGGAGGTAAAACCACTTCATGATGTGCAGGTAAAATAACCGTCCAATCAGAACCGAGTCTGTAGGTGAGGTGAACAGGGGTTGAGGTGTGTTTGGGATTTTGTTTTGGGGCCTCAGTGGAACGTTCTGGGAGTTTTGCCATCAAACACACATTCAGCATTCCTCATCGTTTGTACGGAGCGATACGAGCTCTCTGGGGTCGTTTTCACTCTTACATAACAGAAGAAGATTAAATCGCTCTGGTATTCATCAGGAGGTCAGCCATTTAAAAGACACACTGCTGACATCACTGCTGTGCTCTTCATCATCTTCATCGGCGCTGAACAACATTAAAAAACGTATTCCTGCTGAATCAGCTGAGACGTACATCAACACTGCGCCTCCCCCTGACTCTGGTATCCATGGCAACGGCCGTCAACAGACACACACAGACTTTAATTCATGTGCTTCAGTTTGTTCTCGGAGAGGAAGAAGAGGCTTTAATATGTGAAGACTCAACTTCTATAACTTTATGTGCTTGTGTTCAAGACAAATCAATTAATCAGACAATGGAGGCACAAACGGGTAGTTTGTGACCTGGAAGGTTGTCAGAAAGTAAAGAACGTCCAGTCGATTTTAACAAATCAAACCCAATCAGACGTCATTCAATGACGTTCCAGCAATAAGGACAAAACAATCACACCTTAAAACAAAAAGTAAAGGTTGAAGGAGCTACCGGATGTTAAAGTCTCAAACAGGAAGAAAACTGGGGGATGTTTGGAGGTCAGAAGCTGTTGATTCACAGTGAGTTCAGTACTACAAGAGTTAATATCAACATTAATGCAAACAACTTCCTCATGTTCACGTGTTTCTTGTAAAAGGTTTGGATCCTGGCATCCAGGGCTGAGTCAGATTAGTTAGATTGGCTACGTATCAATCTGTCCATCAGTAAATAAATAATGTAAATGACCTCGGTACTGTAACATTATTCCCTGTTGGTCTCGATGGCTGTCCTCGATCCCGGTCTGGCTACTGAGCCCAGTTCTGCTAACGGCAGATACAGTTAGCAGCAGCTAATGTAGCTATAAAGTAGGAAAATACGTATTTACACTGTTTGTAGTTTAATTACTGTTTATTTCTCTCATTTTCATCTTCTGTTTCTCACTCTGTGGTATCATTTCTTCAGTAACCGTTCACCTTATAACTGATATCACACACACACACACACACACACACACTCACACACACACTCACACACACACACACACACACACACACACACACACACACACACACACACACACACACACACACACACACACACACACACACACACACACACTCTCTCTCTCTCTCTGATAACTCGGTTATATAAAAACTAACACTAAACACACATTTCACACACATTCATGTTTAACAGACAAACAAGGACACACGTAAACACACACATCGTTGATAAAAGTTTGTTATATGAAGATAAGCTTTATATTTACATTTAATTTGTCAGTTATAGTAACACACACAGTATGGAGGCTTTTCACTGACTGCTCTGAAATATTATATAAATACATAAAACCTAGGGGGTCCAAGGACATTGTCCACCACTTACAGCAGCTATAGGCACTATTTGACCTAAAGAACTGAACATCAATATGGAAACCTTCCTCCTATATGAGAGTCTTTATCCTTTTTTATATCAAAGTGTTGTCCAAATTTCTTCTTCATTTTGAAACCAGAACACATGTTGAGGAAGACTCGTTTGCACTCCTGACACCTAAAAGAGGAAATAAAAACGTGTTATTTTTAACATTGGAAACAGGTCAGGTAAACAGCTTTACTGATCTTAACATCTATTTTTGTTAAACTGTCTATAAGCTAGTTAGCTACAACGCTGAAGGCTTTGTTCACTCCTCTGAAAGCTGGTCAGTGAAGCTGCTCGCTAACAGATACAGTTAGCATCGTTAATTAGCCGTTAGCTACTTTAGCTAAAGCTAATCTTTCTGACAGCGACTCATTTTGTGGCGACTGTGATTTCCAGCTGTTTTACAGATTGTTTCTTTCACAATGTGACCTTATGAAAAAAGTTCTTCTGAGCCGGTGGCAGTGATGGGCTGGTTACTCAAAAAATATAATTTATTACTAATTACTCTTTTAATAAGAAATATTATTACTTTACTCATTACTGCCTACCAACAATAATTAGTTACACTACCAGTTAGATTACTTTTCTTATAAAATTTGTAATTGTATCCTTTCTACTCAAAAGTCAGACATATATATATATATATATATATAATATATTATAATATTTCCCAATTAGTTTCCTCCACGATTATAAACATGAATCCAAGGATGTGATCGATTGTTTGATTTCAGATCAGTAGGAGGAAAAAACTAAAGTAAGGTAACTAATAATTTTAATTGGTGAGTAACTGTAATATTATGGCTAATAATGTCTTACTGCCCAACACTGATCAAGTGACACATTGCTGTAATTACACGGTTCAACACGACTGAATGAAACACGTCACACAGAAGACGACAACCTGTATGATAAAGTCAGAGAGACTGAGGTTGACGTTATGTTAAAACAGTTTCGGGGCCCATGAAGCCGGCGCACTGGCTCTGTCCTGGCTCCACCCCCTCTGTCCTGACTCTGAGGTTGAGACTCTGCAGGCAAAAACATGTTTTATTTCACGCACTGGTCAATTTGGAGATTTTAGACTATTTTGTTTCCACACGTCGTTTTTTAAATAACAGTTCTTTACTTTTCTAACCGGTCCTCACAGAGACATAAATACAAGAATTCATGCACCACTTAGTGTGAAACACTTGATGAATAAATATGTTGTTTTACATGCACGCACACACACACACACACACACACACACACACACACTGTGGAGTTCAGTCTCCCAGATCTCCGTCATAGTTTCTGTGGTTCACAGAGAGTTTACTGCTGGAGGTAAAAACACCTCCCTCCCCCTCTATCAGCAGTTTCTCTTCCAGCTCTCTGTCAGGTTCAACCACTCATCCATCAACACGCTAAACACCTTAACTCAAGTGTGTGTGTGTGTGTGTGTGTGAGTGTGTGTGTGTGTGTGATACAGTCACTTTTATTTCCTTTATTTAACCAGATGAGTCAACTGAGAAACAACACACACACACACACACACAGAATATACAGACACACACACACACACGCACACACACACACACACACTACACACACACACACACACACACACACACACACACACACACACACACACACACACACACAACTATTACTAAATGTATTTAAAGACTAAAGATTTCCCATAATGCAACTGAATTATTTCCAAATTGTGTCTGAGAATTCAGGTTTAGTACTAAACTATTTTCCTGCTGCAGTTACAAATAAAAGGTATCTGTTATATTCACAGTAAATCCCCCAGAGGTGAACATTTTGTTCCTCTCTTATATATTTATATTTGTATATTTAAAGTCTCCATGAAGTCAGAATCAGTGTGTTTATCTCCTCTGTCTCTGTCAGTCTCCTGTCCTCCAGTTTCGGTCCAACAGGGACAGGAAGTCCTGTTTCAGGCATTTAGAGTTTCCTGATAATCAATAAAAGTATTTGATGCCTCATCCTGCAATCGGGGGCGTATACTAATGCTGCGTTTTGTTTCTGCTGATAACGTGAGGTCCTCACAAAGATAGAAGTACCAGACCACAGTCATAATGTACATACACACATTATGCATGAACACAAACATGCTAAATAATGTGTCTGATTTATAGTACAGATCACATATTAAATATATAAATATATATTAAACACAGTGAGGTCGACCCTGACACAGAATCCTGCCTCCTGATTGGATTAAAACCATACTGTTGTGTTTTATACCTCAGATATCTTTACCTGTGCTCCACATGAACACTGATGACCCCAGCAGTCACATTAATAGAAAGCGTTGCTCACCACCACCACCTTTTTGCTGACTTGCAAGTGTCCGTCCACATCCCAGAATGCCGTGCGAGTCTGACCCTGGCAGATGGTGAAAACCAGAAGTGAAAGCACGCAGATGTTTCCATGTTTCACAGTCAGCACTTTAACATGAGACAGACAGACAGACAACAACTGGACGTCTTCATCCCGCCTGAATTTCTCACTTAAAGCAGTAACAAG